TGTTCTACCTACTTTTGTGTTTGTGTTTGAAATCCAGCGTGTGTTTTCAGCTTGGAGCACATTGCAAGGGCTCACCAGCCACCTGTGACTGTTCTGGAACGTGCGCCTCCCCACTGTAAGCTCTCTAGAAATAGAAATCATGTTCTAACACACATCTGTTTGCTATCGAGAAAATTTATATGTGCTTTAATAAATGTTTTAAAGAATGAATTTCACAGTAAGAAACTTCTTAAAGGCACCCTCCCCATCCTTCTTCCCTTTGTAAATTGAGGAATCTGTCATTAACCTTCCTGTATCTCCTACTGTCCTTTGTTAATATAATAGCAATTTGCTATATTTTAATATTCTTCTTCACTTTCAGAAACAATTTATATATTGTACTCATTTTATTAATATATTAATGGCAATAATTTAAGTTTTTTTGTTCAGAGACACTGATTTGTTCCTTCTTTTATTCAACATATAATTATCAAGGTCCTAATATTTGTCACATTGTCTTGGGAAAGAAGGGTAAAATTATGAGAAAAAATCAAACATAATTTCTACCCTTTTACTAATTCTCCTCCATAAAGCCTTAATTTTTTTTTAGTCTTCCAGTAAAACCTGTATAAAAAAAAAGGGGGTACTTGAATGATTCTTGAGTCCTAGAATAATTACCAATATCTAAAAATGTCAATTTGACTAAATATATATTCATTATACTGATACTTTTCCCTTCAAAAATATGTAGATATTTCTCCATTGTTAAAAAAAACAAAAACAAAAACAAAAACCTGTTAAAGAGAAAGGTGCTGAGCCCAGCATGATTGTTTTTTGGTTTTGGGGTTTTTTTTCCTTCCTAGTGCTTAGATGATTCTTTTCTTAAATTTCTTCAGGGTGTCTTTTTAATTTAATTTTTCCTGAAACAAGGTAAATTCTTCTAATCTTTGCAAAGATTCAGATCTTATTGTTAATTCAAGAAAGATTTCTTCTGTTCTGATTTCTACTTCTGTTCCATTTGTTTTACTTCCTTACTTTCTCAACTTACTAATAGTTAATATTGTCTTTCGAAGACATGCATATATATCATATTTTTCATGATAGTGTG